ACAAATTGACTAAGAAGATTAACAAAAAAGCATAGATCAGGTCTGTTATTAGTGAGATAAAGCAATTTCCCTATAGTCTAGCGATAGGAGTTGGGATTGGCCAAGTAATTTTTTGTCTGTATTAAGGAGCTAGTTGTCCACTTAGAAATGAGTAGTGCAGGGCTTGAATCCGAGCCAATATCCTGTTCTCTTCAAAGAATGTCCAATGCATATTTCCTTGACATAGGTGTATCCCCTCCTTTTAATCTGGCTACTTCAAAGCCTAAAAAAGTATTTTAGCTCCCCTAGGTTTTTTGATACGAAAGGCTGATGAAGAAACCTTTAATGTGTTCTATTTCGGTGATAAAGTCTCTTGCCAGAATAATATCATCTACATACACAAGGAGAGCAGTGAAATTTGTGGATGTTTTCTGAATAAAAAGAGAATGATCAGATTTAGATTGAATGTAACCAACAAAGAGAAGAAAGGATGATAGTTTATCAAACCATTGTCTACTAGCCTGCTTTCAGCCCATATAGTAGATTAGTTAGGCCTACAAACTGACCTTTTGTTTGGATGTTAGCCTTGGTGGTGACTCCATATATACCTCTTCATTTAGATCTCCATGCAGAAAGGCATTATCAACATCCAATTGATGTAGATACCAATTTCTTGAGGCAGCAATGGCAAGAAGAACTCTGACAGTAGTTAGTTTAGCCACAGGGGAAAAAGTGTCCAAAAAATCTATGCCTTCTTGTTGTGTGTAACCCTTAGCAACTAAACTGGATTTGTACCTCTCTATGGTGCCATCAGCTTTGTGCTTGATTTTGTACACCCATTTGCATCCAATGGAATTTTTTCCAAGAGGAAGTTGAGTTAGTGCCAAGTGCCATTTTCTTGTAAGGCTTTTAGTTCTCTTTGCATTGCAGTGACCCATTCACTGTTGTCTTTGCCTCATTATAAAATTTTGGCTCATTGTTGGCAAATATGGCCAAGGTGTACTTTAGGTGTTTTTTGGATAAAGAGTTATAAGACAAAGCATTAGAAATAGGATAGGGGGTTTTTTGTAGGTTATTTTTTGCATGAAGGTAACTGGATGAGGAATGATTGACCTGGTGTAATGTAGTCATTTAGGTATCCAGGGACCTTTTTAACTCTGGTAGATTTTCTAGAATTGTGATCTTCTCTATCATTGGTGTGATATGTACCAGTGTCTTCAATTGTTATCAGGCCTCTGTTCTGTATCTCCATTCTCCTCAAATTATGAATTTCATCATAGTTTTGGACCATACCAAAAACTATTAGGTAAAAACATTGTCAATCTCTTCTCATCATGTTGTTCTCATTATCTTTGTGCATCCTTGAAGGGAAAATATTTGCATAGAAAATAACATTTCTGCTTAAAAATATCTCCCTAGTATTAACATCTAGTATAACATATCCTTTAACACCATTTTTATAACCTAAAAAAACACCTTTCCTTGCCCTAGAATCATGTTTATGTCTGTTGTGCTCTAAAGTGGAAGCAAAACATAGGCAACCAAAGGTTTTTAAAGTCAGTAAAATTTGGCTGACAGTTCGCTCTCCTATTACATGGAGTGGTATATCTTGTATAGGTCTGAAATCTTAAAAGATTCTTCCTTTAGAAAATCTTTCTTTAGTTCTTCCCACAATCTTTGGCATTGTGTCAACATAGAGACACTATCTGCAATCTGGGTGGAAAGTGTCTTGATAATCCAAAGATAAAACCATGGTTGTCAACACTTTCCCAAGCATCAAACAAAGAATCAGTTCTTGGTGGCTTCTTGAATAATACTTGCCACCAATGATTTGACTTGTTTTGGGAGATAAGAGCCCTTTCTAATTCCTGCTCCAAGATGAGTAGTTATTTTTCATTGAGAATTTTGGTAAATAGAGTAGTAGTAAACCTGGCATTTCTTCAGGATAAGAGATAAAATGGGCTTGAAGGTTGAGTGGTGGGATCTAGGGTTTCCATCTTGGCAAGAAACGATCAAGAACTGTGTTGTACTTCTGATACCATATTAAGTCAGGCCCAAAAGTCTTAAAACATAGGCCCAATCTTCTATGGCCTTTAGAAGACAAAATATGTCCAGCTAGAGTCACTGCCACGAGGTAGTCTTCATTCAGAAAAAGGAAGAGAGAGAGAGAACGTGTGTTCTGAAGCTTGGAGAGCAGGATGCGAAGCTCTCTGCTTGGGGCATGGTTTGGCTCCTGGAAGAAGAAGAGAGCAGATCGAAACACCACTCTACAGAGAAGGAAAGAGCAAAACTTGATCTATTAATTCTTTACTATAGAATTTGTGTTTGTTTTACAATCTGAAGGGGTTTAAACCCTAACCTTAAATAGGTTGGGGAAAAAAGGGAAAAGGAAAAATCTTAACCGATTACTACTGCAAAGTAGTAATCCTAAGTGAAACCTAACTAAAATAACAAACTTCAACATCTAATTTGAAACTTAGCTTTATTACGAGAGTTGATGTTGTTAAAATTTTTGTAACATAAATAACATTTGTTTGCTTAGTTTTTAATGTCTTAAAACTAAATTTACAGAAAAAAATGTTTTAAAATACAATTTCTAGAATAAGCTCCCATTTATTTTCTTTCAAGTATTTTCTTAAAGTGTATTTTGTTTGGATTATTTGTGAAACAAGTAAACACAGTTTCCACTAAGCAAATATAATATTTTCATGGAACTTAGTTTCACTTAGAAAAATAAAGAAACTTAATGCTTAATGGTGAAAACAAAGCATGTTGTTTTTGTGTGATGATATCTTTTAGGCTGATAAAACAAACAGTTAATATAATTACAAAAAACAGTCATCGTAATTAAGGATTATTTATTATTTAAGTATAAAGTTATAAAAAAAATGTGATTCTAGAAAAGCAGTTGTGAAAATAATATTACGTTATTAATTTTCATTTAACTGATCAACATATAAGTTTAAGAAGAAAATACATTGAAATTAAAATATTCATAATTAGCATTTTTTATCGTTTTATGCTACATTCGTGCTAATTGTAAAATTAGTTTAAAATAACAAATAAAATATTCAGAATTAGCATTTATTAGAATTTAATAATGGAAGAAAAAGAGTTTTAGAATTTGTCTTCTAAAAGGGACCTACCCTTAATTACGACACCTCATATACCCTTCATTACAGTGGCACGTGCTCCCAAACTGTCAATGACACGACACAGTTTCCTGTCCTTCACAAGTCTTACGTGTCAAAACAAGAAAAGTCATATAATCTAGAGTCCCCTTTCGGCACTTTGTGTGACGTGTCGTTTTCTCATTCGTCTTTCACACCACTGTCCCCTTTCCTTCCTTGTGTAATCGGTTATTTTATTGTTTCTCTCGCTCTCGCTCTCCTTCTCTCTTTTTTTCCTCCGTTTTCTCTTTCTTAAAGCACAAACCTTTTTCACTTTCTTCCCTTACCCACCTACGTTTCCTTCAGATCCAACCAATTCCATCGTCACCAGGGATACCCTTTTGTCTATTCAGCTTTATCTCACTCTTCAACTGTGTCTATCTTTGGTGAAACCCTTCTTCTGCTCTCTATGCCATTCCTACAGGTACGATTCGCCGTTTCCTGATTCAAAGCACGCGTTTTTTTTTTCTGTTCCGGTGATTTTGATTGTGGGTTTCCTTTTTTTCTTTTTGGTGAATTATGGGTGTGGAGAATTTTATGGGATTTTGGATCTGTGTCTTAATTCTTTATTGGAGTGTTTGAATTTGGTGTTTTGGGTAGATCTTGTGGTTTTTGTTGTGGGGGTGTTTGTGGATTTTACTTGAATTGAGTTCATTTATGCGTTGATTGTTAGTTGGGCGGATCTGGTCTCTTTAGGGTATTGGTTTTGTTATTTTTGGGTTGTTTACAAATTGAATTGCGGGAGAAATAAAATGGCGTTTTGTGCTCTTGTATATGCAAAATCAACAATTCAATAACAGTGAAGATAACTAATTGGCGTCATGTTTGGCGAGTGCTTTTTTAGGCCAGCAATTGAATCTTGCATTTTCGTCTTTCATTAAGGGACAAGCTAGGTTATGTATGTTTTAGTTAAGTGTTTGTTATTTCATTTTGGATTTAGGTTGTTAGGTGGATGTGGAGTTGGTGGATGGTGAATTGATAATGAATTGGCTAATGATATCTAAAGTGAATGATTACATTGTGATAACGAGTTTACCTGCTTTTGAATCATTCTTTATTTTTTTATTGAGGACTGATATAGAATGAAATGTGTGACCTATAGATGTAACTATTGTCCATTAAAATTAAATTTCCATCCGTCCCAATACTTTTCATTTCTCAACAAGTCATTATGGTATACAATTCAGTTCTCGATGCAGTATTTACTCTTAAACTTGGCTCAGTCTTGTTGCCATTTTACATTTTTCATGAATAAAGTAATTTTGTTAGTCTTAAAATGTGTATAAATGCATTGTTTCTGAAGATTTTAGTCTAACCAAGCTCAATATGACAATTCAAACTTGGTCGTTCCGCTTGATTACGTGTTGTTTATATCTTTGCGCTACTCTATTAATATTCAGATGTTTAATTCTATACTTCATAGTGAAATTTGATTTGTTCTTGAGACATATTCATGTTGTTGTTGGTTTGTGTGTTTCCTTTTGCTGTTCTAGTATCTTTATTTATTTGTTTTGGGCTGTGTATGATTCTCTATCTGTAAATGAGTCGTGTCTCTTTGTTTTTGTGAGCACTTACAGATTTTGATGATTCGCATGCTCTTTGTAGCTTACTCTGCAGTTGGGAAGGGTGTACCCGAACACGAGTGTAATTGCAGCATACGGATTTATTAATAGTCTTGTAGATCTGTTGGCTTTTTCAGGATGGGCAAATGCAAGGGTTGTGGGAAGTTAGGAAGAATGAGGCCAAGTCATATGAGTGCTTATGAATTTTCTCTGATGCTGGCTCCTGTTGTTTCTGTTTGGGATTGCATAGTTCGCAAAATGAGGTACTCCTACAGACCTGAGTGGGTGTAGTGGTTGGCAACGTATCAATAGTATTAGTCCTGATACTTCAACTAATTAGAACATATTTAGCATTACAATTAGGGAAAGAGTGGAAAAGTATTACACAAAAAAAATGTATACAGCTCTAAAGAAATTCACTTGAAGGATCTCTCAAAGACATCACTTTAGTATTTACTATTTAGGTGCAGTAAATTCTATGGATACCATGGCATGTAATAAAGGGCAACATGTGAGAAAAGCGAAGAAGAAGCAGGTGAAAGACGAATTGGATCGTCTGAAACAGGCTGAGAAGAAGAAAAGGCGCTTGGAAAAAGCACTTGCTACTTCTGCAGCCATTATTTCTGAACTGGAGAAAAAGAAACAGAAAAAGAAAGAAGAGCAGCAGAGACTCGATGAAGAGGGTGCTGCTATTGCTGAGGCTGTTGCTCTGCATGTTTTACTTGACGAAGACTCGGACGATTCCTGTAAGGTTGTGATAGATAATGGTGGGTGCAAGACCTGGAACTGCAACCGAAATCTCGGCATCTCTGTGGGTGGAGAAAGTGGTTGCTTCCCTCATCTAGATGGTGGCAGATGGTCTTTTGAAAGAGTGGGTTGGGTCTCTGATGCATACAGATATGGTTGCAAGTGGGGTGGTGGTGAAAATGGAGAATGGTCATTCTCATCAGACCCTTTTGAGAAAAACGTGAACGAACCACTATATGAAGGTGCAGGATGGGGACCTGCAGGTTTCTCTGCTGATCTCATAGCAGCACAAGCAGTTTCAGCTCTGCAGATTGCTGAGGAGGCAGATGAAGATAGGATTCTGTTTTAAGTTTTAAGGGCATGCATGTTGAGGTGATAGAAATTAAGAATCATAGAAACTAAGAATAACTGTTTGTGGTGGTGACTGGATGAAGTCTTTTGCTGCTTTGATTGAAGATATATATGCGTGTATATATATATATGATGTTATAACTATGAGTCTTGTCCATGTCAAACACTTTCTGCTTCTGTTGGGATTGAAATGTTGCAGCAGTGTGACCAATGTTTTATTATTGATTATCTTTTAACTTTATGTTAATGTGAGGCTTCTAATTTCCTGTTTGGAGTGACTTTTTGAACTGATTTCGAAAAATACAAGAACACCAGTGGACCCTCATCATTAAGATACTACTGCCATGTGCCTCTTGGATTATGTTATCACTTTCAGGATTTCATTTTGATAATGACATGACCTCTCCCCTCTGTAATCTCTCTAATATCATACAAAGTGGCTTTAATCTGTATATTTTAAATGCACGTTGCTTTTCTTCATTTTATAATTTCTCATTTTTAGCACTTTGGGATTACCATTAAATTAAGAATAGATTACTGAGATTAATTCTTTATGGTGAAATTTGACCTAAAAGGATCCCATTTTTAATTTCAAAGGAGGAACTAAAATGGATGGTTTGGGATAAAGCTAAGCATTTTGTTTTCACGGGTCCACTCTTGCATGTGCCAATTTTAATCACTGTCCATTGGAAGTTTCGTTCAATGTTCGTACCTAAGGAAATTTCTTAGTGAGCGATTCTTGAATATTCATTGATATTTATTTCTATGACTAGTTTTTATTTAACAATAAGATTTGCAAAACAAGAAAAATAATTTGTATAACGTAAAATGCGTTTTTAGTACCAAAGACATTGATACAAATTACTTATCTTAAAAAATAATGATGACTTATATTTGAAGAAACAAAAATTATATTTTAGAAGTGATATTGAGTTAAAAATAATGAAACTCGATTATTTTAATATTAAATGATTTTATTATAAATAGTTTTGGTATAAACGAGTTTTATTTTTCAAAACATATTATTTTTCTAGAAACTACTTTTCTAGAGTTTTTCGTTTTCTTTCTAAGGGTTCTTGTATCCAGTTTATTTGTTTGAAGATTGAAGACCGTTTTATGGGTTTTAGTCTTCTTTTAGGTTATATATTGATCAGTGGTTTTAACGTTGTACCCTGATCATGATTCTATAGGTGTAGATAGAACTTATTGAGTTGTTAAAACCTAATAGGATTTTCTAGAGCATTTGATCATCTAAAAAGGTAAAGTAAGATAAATACCTCTTTTTTATTATGTAAATGATTTGATAATCTGAATTGGTATGTTGGAGTTGATTAAAGAAATATGGCTAATTGAGATTTTGTTGTGTTGTAGTATAATTGTTTGAAACTTGATCTATACATGTGATTTTTGATATTAGGAGATTGTTGCAATGAATGCTTGTGTGTATTGGCTGTTTTAATCACTTGAATTGTTGTAATTAATGTCATAATATTGGTCAAGACTTGATGTTTAACCTTGATGTAGTGAAAGGTGAGAGCTTTGAATAGTTTTGGGTCAAATTTAGGAGGTTCTAATAGGTGAATTTCCAGAAGAGTAGTTTTGGAGAGAAAATTGATGTTTGTGGTTGGTGTCTAGGCCATTTAAGACTTTTGTAGCCTTTTAGTTCAACTAAATTCAAGGTGAAATGTTTAGAATTTGATATGTGAGTTTAGAGTTTTGATTTTGGTCAATAGGTTAGTGTGCATGCGTTGATGGCTAGGAAATTAAGGGGAATTGGGCTTATGTGAATTGGATAGCTAGTACAGCAGATTGCAAATTGAGAGCAAATTGGATCCGTTGTCCACGTCAATTGTGCAAAACCGAGAAAGGAAGAATTCTTTATCTGGTGCATTGTATCTTGCAACCTGTTAGGTAAACCCAAAGAGAGTGAAATCCAGAAGCAACAAGTCACTTATCAAATTTTGTGCATCTGTCCTAGTAGGATTGGACCAATCAGGAAACCCCAAGAGAGTGAAATCCAAAAGCAACAAGTCGTACATGAAGTCTCCACAAGATTGGGACCAGAATGTGCACCAACTGTGCTTATTTCCCTTTTGTAATTGTTTTGTTCATTTTAGATTTGCAATAGGTTTTTGTGTTAGCTTTCTTTTAATTTCAATGTAAAAGGCCATTCAAAGTCCAAGTGTTTTGGAAGAGTCCTTGGTGCTCTTTCAACTCTTGGCAAAACTTTTCTTGCTTGTGTTTGAATTTTTGTTTTTCACGTGTTTAGGTATACTTAGAGTCTGAAACTAGAGTCTAGTTTTTGTCTTTTGTGAGTCATGTCCATTGATTTTAAAATTTGATTTTAATTTGAGGGTTAATTAGTTAGCCTAAGACATTTCTGACAAGGTAAGACTTGATACTTAAGCAACCCTTGTGGTTCACCTCTCTTACCTGGGATGTGTCTAAGTGAAGCTTATAACCCTTTAGATTAGAAAAACTCTTAAGAACAAAATATGTCAAGTTATAGGTCTTATAGGAGTAGTAATTTTAGTTTTGACCATCCAAATTCTTTCAAAAATACGATTGAAACACTTGAAAAGTTTAGGAAAAATTGTACCTTTTGGGAAATGGATAGGATTGAGTGCGAAATATATAATCAATCTAAAAGGGAACTTCCATTCTTTGGTAAAGATATAAGTGCATTAACCTATTTAGGTTGGGAAAAGAAAATTGGTGTTCCTAGATTATACATTTCTAAATTTGAAGGAAATACAAGAGAGTGGTGGGATAAAAGGAAAATTAATGTTAAACAAGGTAGAAAATCCCCCATCCATGATTGGAGTGAATTAAAAGATTGAATGAGAAGAACTTATCTTCCTCCTTCGTTTGAGAGAAATCAAGAGGTTAGGAGGGGTCATTAAAGAGGGCAAGTCATTTATTAAAAATTTAAGTGGGTTTACTCGTAGGGAAAATGAGTTTAGACAAAAACTTCTGATACTCTTAGATGAGATCAGTAAAAGAAAAATTGAGAGAGCACATAGGAAATTACAAGAAAGAATAGAAAGGTAAGAAGAAAAGAGAGAAACAGAAGAGCTTGAGAGAAGAGAAGAAGAAAGAAGAGAGCAAGAGAGAAGAGAATAGGAAGAAAGAAGGAAAGAAAAAGCAAGAAGAAAATAAGAGAAAAGAAGAGAGCAAGAGGATAGAGAAGAAGAAAGGAGAGAAGAAGAAAAGAAAAGAGAAGAACAAAAAAGAATAGAAAAGGAAGAATGTGAAAGAAGAGAAAAAGAAATGGAAGAAAAGAAGAAAGTACAATTAAAGGCAACAACTCTTCCAACAATTACAATAGAATCAAGACTTTTAAGGAGAGATTTTCTATTCTTCAACTTTTCTCCATTTATTTTTAAGTTTTCAAAATTCTACTTTTCTTTTAAAGAAATTATCACTCCATGTTTTAAAATGTTACAACTTTCAAAATGTGGCAATTCACTTGAGTTATTGTTACCTCTATGGTTACAACTCACTCAAAACAAAAATAAAATTTGAGAAGAAATAAGACATCTTAATATTAAGAAGCCTTCTTCCAAACCTATTTGTCTAT